AGGAGAAACTATTAAGTAGAAAAAGAAAATTCACTCATTCATACTCTAACGACCTATTTTACATGCTGTACCTAACGTGATGGAGCATTATGGTATATAAGATTTAAACAATTTTCAAATACTATATTATTCATTAGTTTAAAGAGTACAGATTCAATTAGTGATCGATATCAGTTAAATGATTTTAAGTTTGGATGGTGGGTAATTTCTGAAGTAATTAAAATTGTCATAACTATCGACGAAAACAATGGCCCATGCAAACCGCTAACAACTGAGGCCCAATTTATCCTATGGCTAATTAATTGGTTAATAGTTAAACGCCAACCTGTCGAGTAAGAGCGGTATTTAGGATTTAATTTTTTCAATGATTTTTGTAGAAATCAATGTTGGACTTTACAATTTCTAGATTGTAAAAATTGGGTTTTCAACTTTCCTAACTTTTATCTTAAAGTTCTTGTCATATTTTAAAAGAGGGTAATTAACACGAAACTCAATGGCATTTGCCTCTATTGCGAAATACCTTCTATCCTATCAACTTGGCAGAAAATCTCCCTAGACAACCTTTAACTTGCAGGAGACCACTTACCATCTAAAATTCATTATTACAACCGTTACATCCACTTAAAGATGCCAAATATTTAATAATAATAATAATAAAAAAGAATAATTGCATTTCTGGTCCCAAACTTTCCTTTTTTTGTTCAGATTATATCCATATATTTTATTTTTGCCACCTACAATCCCAAAGTTTTAAAACTTCATCTTGTTTCCTAGTCCAACCTCCACCTTATCCTACTTTATCATCAAAACTTCATTTTCTTCCCAATTCCACCTCCACTCCAAAACCAAAACCCAGAGATGAATACCGCTGAGTTCTTCTTGTATGTAAGACTTAAAAGGATATACTATAGACTGAAAATGTTGTTAACACTAATACAACAATTCCCTCTCTTCACCATCCCAAAAAGGGTTTTGGGTTCGATGCTGGGCTTGAAATCCGAGTTTGATTCGCCAGATGTTAAACTAACTAATTTGTGGCAGTGCAGTCTCAGCAACCTCCTCTTTAACCACTCCTTCACTTTCCAATGCTATTCTTCCTACCCGCAACAATTTTGTCTTCATTAAAGGAGGGAAAACTCACAGACATTCCCTTCGATTTGACTCAATTGGAGCCATCCGCTTTACTCACCACTGTCTCTACTCTCTATCATTTCGTGTCTCGACCACTACTTCCACCGAGGAGCTATCTAGGTCTATAGGTCACATCTCTCTCGTCACTTACGCATGTCAGATGACGAGTGTGTTTTACTCGTGAGTTTAAGCTAATTTTAACTTGATAGTAAGCTAGATTTCACAAGTATGGAATGTTTGTAATGTGTTTATTAATGTTGTTTTAGAGGCTTATCGAGATGGTGAAGGAAATGGCATGGATGGAAAAGAAGTAGTGGATACAAGGGCAAAATAGGCAAAGCAAAGGTGAGATGAGTGGCACCAAAGAGCCAAAAATAAGGAAGGAAACCGAATGTGGGCACCGCATCGCCACATTGAGGGCACTGTGGCATCCCGCATCTACTAAACCTCTACACCGCGGCGTCAAGAGAAACTGAGCTACACTACCCAGTAAATTGATGCGGTGCTGCAGCCCCACTTCCTAGGCACCACGGCGCCACAAACAAATACGTTAGGGTGCAAATTTGGCCCTTTTTAAGTCCTTACGAAAACCCTAATCTTCATAGATAGCAGGGGAGATATAAATAAGAAAACTCTCACACTTTATGGAGGTTACACACATTAAAAGGCAAGAAACACATCTTGGGAGAGAAAAGGAGAAATTAAAGGGAAAAAACAATGAGAAATTCATCGTGTAAAGCATCAATTGGCAGAAGAAAGAATTCTTGGTGCAAGATCTACTTTTTTTCTACATCTTTAATACAAAATTCGATGATGTATTCTAAGACAATTTGTTGTTTCTCTTCTTTCATTATACGTAGCTAAAGCCATTGTTAGGGCGAATAATGTAACTATTTGAGATTTTTTATATTTTCTTATTAAGATTCTTGGCTTTTAATTTTTCCATGTGTTAATTTTTACTATGAATTGATTGCATTAAATTATCTGATCAATAATTTGATGAATTTTGTGAATCCTTTACGAATAGAGATATCAGTTTAGGATTTAGACCATGTAGTAAAATTTAGTACACCGGTATAACAAGTAGAGATACTTATGCCATTTATTGCGGTCATAATTGAATTTCTAGGACAAAAAACTCGTTTAATTAAGTTGAATTTGCATAGAAATATGAAAATTAATTAGTTAAATATGCTCAATGAGAATTCAAGAGGGGTAAATTGAATACAATAGGAGAATTCGATTAAGCACTATATTAGATGTGATTCTTAATTTGAAATATAAAGGTGATCAATAGGTGAAGTTATTTTGCCCTAGCATCCATTTATTATTTGATTTTACAAACAATTGTGTGTGCGTCCATTTATTTTCTAAAATTTAGATTAAAACTCAAATCGTACAACTTTTAATTTCTCTTTATCAAATAGTGGTTAAAGAAAATGTGAACTAAGTGCTAGAAAATAATCCTTGTAGGATCGACAACTCAGACTCTTAGGTCCACTATTATTTATTATGGTTCGTACACTTGCGAAACTAAAATTGACAACATCAGACAGCATTTACTACACGTATATGGATAGAGCTTGTGTAATTACTGATTAATTAAATTTGTCATTGAAATTTTTTTCTTGTTCATTCTTAAAAATTCACCCGGAAAATGATAAAAATTGGACTTCCTAAGAGAGATTGAAATTGCACTAGTAAGAGCATCGACTTGATGATTTTCAGATGATAATACAAAGGAAGAGCAAAATTTTAGTAACTAAAACGGAAATAAAGTGTAAAACTACGAATTTGGGAAGAATATATTTACTTCCACTAGAAAGGAGTTTTTTCAAGAAAGTAAATTGGAAATTTACACTCAAGAAAAACTCAATGGAATTCATTTCTGGGTTTCAGTTTAGGGTGGGGTGAAATTGGGGATGAAGATGAAGTTTTAAATGTTTAGGATGATAACAGGTGGCAAAAGTAAAAGGTTTGAATATAATCTTCAAAAATAAAATAAAATGAAATAAATTTGAAACCACGACTACAATTATTTCTTTTTAATTTTGACCTTCTTTTAAGTAAATTTAATGACTAGTAACAAACTTGGACAGTAGGAAGTCTTTTGAACATACGTTGGTGTCTAAGTTGAACTCAATATATGTATACAATTATTATTTTTTAATTGACGAAAACATATTGGTGCTTTATCTTCAGCTCATGACCAAGGGATTTACTTTTCATTCCAAGAGTGAAATGAAGGTTAAGCATGGGAGTCTTTGGCTCCATTCCGAAGAGTAGTGGATGTTGAATTTTGTGCCAAATAATTTTTCGTGGGCGAATGATGTAAATCGAGTTGGACTTCAAATAATTTTCAGACCTCAATTGAAAAAAAAATAAAGAGACCCGAAAAATCCACAAAGATTGAATCAATCGATTCAAACTTTGTGAAATCATCTCGTTTTCTTTCTAATTCATGGATTATTTAGTGGATAATCTTGAGTTATTTGTATTTGTTATCAAAGCGTTATAGATTTGAGTTGGAGATTGAAAGTTTGGGCAAGGTGGTTGAGGATTAATTCTTTGTGGATTAGGGAAACTGAGCCCAATGGTTAGTTGTGTAAGAAGAAGACCGCTCAAGTTATTTTTGGGTCAGGTTATTTGATTTCTTGTGATTATTTTTTTCAGTAGAGAAAAAGTTTCTTGTAAGTCCATTTTAATTCTTCGTTCAAATCAGGGATGGAGCCAAACATTTGGCGTTGTGGTGTTAAAATTAAAATACAATTTTTTTTAGAACAACATATCATAACATGTTATTTTGACTCTGCACTCGAAAATAAGGGTTTTTATTTAAAATATTTCTTCATGAATGTTACAAAATCAAATTCAATATTAACAAAATATGAGCACGGCATCTAGATGAGAGAATTTGCTATTTCAGTTGAATAAATAGTAAAAAGAAACAAGATGACATCAACCTTTTTTTTTTTTTTTTTAATACTAGCGGAGACCAAAATCATACTTTCCAGATTCACACAAAATTTTATAGTTGTCTTTTTAATTTTTTATTTATATTTGCAACAATTAGATCCAAACCCCATAATTTAACCGGATAAGAATAAATGCATGATTCTCCAAAAGACATCAAATAATCACAAAAAAAATTATTCAAATGCTATATTAATAATTTTCATAATATGGCGGTGCCGACTTGTTTAGATGTTTATTTTTTTCCTGTAGACTAGATAATAACTAATAAGCGATAGGGAATTGGGGATTGTAGTTGAATTTTAGAATAAAAATATGTAAATCAAACAAGTAGAGTGTCGATTTGTTACCTAAATGGAAGAAAGATCACAAAGTTAGCACAAGAAAGAAAATCCCAAAACGTGAAGGAGTAGAGAGAATGGACTTGAAGATGGAGTTAGATAGGTGAAATACCAATTAATTGGCTTGTGCAATTGGGCTTGACAATAAACAATTGGACAATGTTATATTTAATCTTTAGTGTACAAAAAAAAAAAAAAAAAAAAAATTTTGTCAACTGATCCCACATGACCCCATGTGGGTCCGTCAGTGGTTCAAATTTTAACAAGTCAACATTTATTTAGTAATTGCAATTTAGATTGGGATTTTTTGTTCCTAGCAGAATTTTATTTTATTTTTTTAAATATTAAGTTTGGAAGCCCGTGAGTTTTTCCCTTCTTAGAGATGTACTTATCTTATTTCAATTGTTGCTTTAAACTTTGCACTTGATGAATTTTGCGATCTAAAGTTGTATAAACAATTGAATCTAAAGTTTGATTCTAATTAATTCGTGCACATCTATATTACTTTCATGAATTATCATCATATATAACAAACTATCAAGTAATTTATAAAACTGAAGCAAAAATTCAAAAGTTGTATTTAATCACTCCCCACGAGTATCATAAGAGTACATTACATCTGAACAAGTAAAGAAAATAATTTTTTAAATATATTTATTTTGTTATATCCAATAAATATTGGCAAAGTGCATGGGGCTTTGAAATCATGGCCATGTGGTCAGCATCTTCTATCTCTTTCACGATTGTCACTCCAGTATTTTTAATTTCTCGGCGTTGAAACTCTGGTGATATGGCTTTATCTTTGCCAGTTATGATGTAAGCACGCTTTACGGATCCAAACCTTTCATTGGAAAATGGGCTCCTATTTGACAAATCTTGCATAAAGAGAGATGCCGGCCTCACTAATGATATTGCTAATGCAACATCCTGCCATAATGAATTAAAAGCACTTGTTAGTCAATTTATAGCAATGTTTCGTTTCAACTACTCCACTTTTCCTTTGCTCTAAATTATCCATTAAACTTTTATATTCTTTTTTTTTCTCAGGAATTTTATTTGCCAAATTAATGGAAATGTTAACTTGAAAAAATCTGGTAATGCACTAATATTATCATCATGCTGGATAAAAACTAGTGTTTGGAAAATCAAAATAGGGTAAAAATGGGGAAAAAATGGCATTCGTTTGAAAAAATAAAGAATCTTTTATTTCTCCTTAACATTTTTCATTTTTCTTATCTTTTTTACAGTCGGTACCACTATACATTTATATATTTTATTTTACCTCAGGTGGGGAGAGTTGATATAGTGCGGATGATAGGAAATTTGGACCCCAGAGTATTGATGTGAGATTATCTTCGGGTCTACCAAACGGTGCGAATTTAGTGTCCAAAAATTCTTTCCGCGGGATCCGTGCAATGTTCTGCCAAACAAGTTAATTAAAGTAAACTAAGGCGGTGCTCCATTTTTCCATGGAAAATTCATTTTTCAACTTTTGGTTGTTTGATTGTCCAAAATTTTTTCTAGAATTGAAATTCCATCTTTCATTCCACGTCAGCATTTTCCTTGAAATCATGGAATTGGAATTTCGGGTCACTGTAGCGATTTTTTATTTTTATTTTTTTGGCAACTATGAAGTATGAAATTTCGCTTTTGAATCGCAATACAATATTTTCGTTGTGGCAAGTGAAGATGCGAACTGTATTAGCGCAGATGAATTTAGATGATACGTTTATTAGAATTTGACAAAATACCCACAACTTGGACAATATAGGAGAAATAATGGAAGGATCGGAAGACACTTTCACAGATTCATCTTCATCCCTCTAAAAATATTCTTTAGGATTGAAGGAGAAGACATCAGTTGTGTTGTGGTTGAAATGGAGCAATTGCGTGTGATTAAAAGTCCGACGAACAAATTGTATCTAAAGCAGAGGTTGTATCCTCATACCATGGCAAAAGGCGGATATTTGGAACAACAATTGGCTATGTTCAAGGAGAATGTCGCCGATTTGGAGACATTTGAGGTAAAGAATAACGAAGAATAATTGGCTTTAATCCTGTTGTGTTCACCGTCTGCTTTGTCTACTTCGTTTAGGGACACAATTTTGTATAGTCGTGATACTCTCACCATTGAAGACGTATATGATGTAACACCAAACAATAAATTGATACTCTATTCGTCCTAAGCTTGTTATCTTTTTTTTCGTATATCTTAAATTATATGTTATTTGAGAGTATAATTAATTTCTTAATTTTCTAATATATCCTTATTTATGTGTTTTGTTTATCAGAAAGAACTATTCATATTTAAATAATTATTTAATGTAGGAGTATATTTAAAAAAAAATATAAGTAAAATTTATATGTTCAGCTATATTAATAACATTTTTCGTAATCCGTGCTAGTGGAGGCAAGAATATCATTATGAGAGGGATGAAGTATATATTCTAAGCACCTCATTATTTTATCTAAACTAATGGTATTGGATACAACGAGCCATGAGTCTGTTGGCTCGGCTTATGCTCAAAGTGAGTAGCAGGCAAGATTCGAGAAGCGAAAATCTCGTGCAAGCCACTTGTGAGCTCATGAACAGGAAATTGATGAATGACATACAACTTTCACTAAAAAATAGAAATTGACACATCGCCAGCAGGAGTCGATTCGCCTAACGAGCCGAGCCTAACAGTGAACAAGTTGAGCCATCCATGACCAACTATCACCTTAATTATTAGAGAAAATTACCTCAAACCCTTCTTTTGAAATTTTTATTTCATAAATCAGGTATTAACAATTTCTTTTCAAAAATCAGATTTATTCATTACCCACGCCCCCCCTAGAAACATAAACTTCGTTATATTCACTCACAAAGCTCTAAGAATGAAGCCATGGGGCCTCTCAAGGTTGGGGTACCCACGCCACCTAGTCCAGCGCAGGTTTCAGTAGTAAATTTTCCCCTCCATTAAGCTCTCCTTTTTTCATGTTTTCCCCAAAAATCACCCCATCCCACCCCACAAGCCTAGATTCCATTTTAATTTCCCATTTCGTTATGCTGCCTTCTTTTTGGTGTTTTCCACATGAATCGTGCATTAATTAGTACACAAATTGAATGCATTTTCCCATCGATTTTGGGTCTGTTTGGTGCAATAGTAGTTGTTGATTTTAGGACGCAAGCATACATGAGATGCTGTGCCTCCAATCAAAGGTGAGTTGGTGTTGGGGAGATCTTTTACTGATGGTGATGGACGGATTCGAAGGCTTTGGTGACAATTGAAGGCTAAAAAGGTTGTGCAGATCTTTGTGTGATGGTGTGTACGTGTGTATGGTGGTGTGCACAAATCTGTGTCTGGTGAGTTGTTGTGTTTGCGATCAGGAGCGAACGCAAAAAAATTTAATTAGGAGGCACAATCAAACTCTGTACAAATCGAATGCTTTGTTCTTGATTTTTGAATTATTTTGATACTTGAATATGTTAAATTTTTGTGGTAGATGTGATAATTTGTAGAAAAATTATAGACAAATTTTAAAAAATTAGAAGGGTTGTGGTGCTGGTTTTGCCTAACCTTACCAAATATCAATGCCAACAACCCCCCCCCCCCCCACACCACCAAATAATATACAGAAATGACACTGGGGGGGAGGTCCATTACACAGGAAAAATTTTGTAGAAAGTGAGGACCAGTGTGAAAGAGAATTAAATTTGAAATTGATGAGTAGATGTCCATTAATCAGAAAAACCATTGTAGAATGTTAGGACCATGTAAAAAAGAATTGTTTAAAGCGTGAAATTGAAATGTGAATAGGTGTACATGATAACAAAAAAAAAAAAAAAAAAATTAAAAAAACAAAATAAAAATAAATAAAAATGAAAATGAAAGATAGATCATCATGTTCACGCAGAATTTTAGTGAATCATGTGTATTATCTAATAAACCTCAACTTATCTAATAGAACTTGACTTATTTCTTGCATCATCAGCTAATTTATTTAAAATAAGTTCTTTATGTCAGAAAATTGATTATTACAACCAAAAGAAGAAAACAGAGGAATAGATGAAGATTAAATTGAAGTAATGTATATGATTACAAATCCCCTTATGAAACATGTTACCCCGCACTTGATGCATGTTTCTCAAAATATTGCAGTTCTTTCCAGACTAACACAATAATAACCTTGACGGGTGAACTACAAATTTATAGTAATTACTCCTTGCATGGAATAACAAAGAACTTGAAATCTCAGATATTCGAATTTATGTCAAACTCAAATTATTTTTGATATAACTTCGGATCGAAGATTTTCAAATCAATTAACTTGTTTGGGGCTGCAGAAAATCGAATGAAACGAGTTCAATATATAGATGTCATGTGTTTATTTTGAATTAGTGCGCCTTTTTGCATGAATCTACATGAAGTATTATATCACACCATTTTAAATGGCGACATAATTTAGTGGTTCAAATTGCACCCTATGAGAAGGCTCACAAGACCATGGCTCTTTAGTGTGCACCCATTCTATTGAAAAATCACATCTTGACATCGCACTTTCGTGACTTAATTTTATTTCACACATAAAAACCATTAAATGATCCATCTATTTTCAACTAGGTATCATTAAATTCTAACTCTTGCAATAAAAATTTATTGAACATAGTTGACCATTCAGTGAACTATTTAAACTATCAACCATCATTGCAAGCCTAGACACTAGATTTAACACATTATAGTTCACATCAAACTTAGTTCTCTATTTTAATTATTTTGACCCTGAAGTCTCTTTGGTTTTGCAAGTGTTTTATAGAATTCCCTCTATTTTAATTATTTCTACCCTGAAGTCTCTTTGGTTTTGCAAGTGTTTTATAGAATTCCCTCAAATAAAATTCTCATAAAAGCAGGCCTAGCTCATACAAATATATTTGACGTATTATCAAGAGTATCCTATAATATATTCCACTCATACTTTATAAAATATATTCATTATTAGAGCTCATTATTAATGTAATGCTTATCCTCAATGAACTTTTATAGGCATCACTTCTTTGCATAATATGAATTGGATTTACACATATACGTGCTTCTCGTTGAGTTATTTATCCTACTTGACTTAGTGTGAGATTTCCAATTTCCATGTTAAGTTTCCATTAAGAAAATTCTTAAGTAAGATTCCCATTTTCGTTGCTGCACGTTCTATTTGCTCTTTGGATAACCATTTCTTAATAAATCCGCTAAGTTATCATTTGACTTAACAAAATCAATTGATAATATTCCATAACGATATTATGTCTACGACGTATATCTCTTCACTTGTTAGCATTAACATTGACCATTTTGGAATGAGCTATACAAGTTTGCTCAGAATATTTTGAAGATACACAATTAATATAATTGGATTCATTTGTTTCTGATATCCAATTAGCGTCGTTGTATCTTTCAACTACATGTAGATATTTTTCATAATATAATGATCTTTATTTAGATTGTTGCAGTATCAAAACGTTATTATTGAAGTACAAGAATGCTCATTACCTAAATTGCTTATGTATTCACTTAACAAAATTACTAGTTAAGTTGTATTTTGCCTTGTATGATTCATAAGGCTCATAGCCTTTGTTATAATTCGGACCAAATCTGAAACCACTTTGTTCAAAACTAAACAGTTTTGATACCAGTTTGTTGAGAATTCGGCCAAACAATTAAAGAACGAGAATATATGGGCAATGAAAACAAAGAATCACATAAGAACACAAGATTTATGTGGAGGAGGATGAGAATTTATTATACCAAAAAACTAAAATTGTTAGTACAAAATTTATTTCTGTCAATCTCAATCTAAACAATTCTCTCAACTTTTCAATGTATATAACAATGATTTAATTGTTATCTTGAGCTTTTGAAGCGTGGATATCCCGATCTGGCTTTTCGAGAAAAGCCAATACCTCATGAAGTATTTATAGGATTCAAATCTTGGAATTATTGATGAAGTAGAACACAAAAACCATATCAAAAACCAACTGGGGGTAAAAATCCTCCTATATACATGGCATCGCAATTCGGAGGAGCTGGCCTTGCTGGGCTAAACAGCGCTTGTCATCCATGATAATATTTGATTCCTTTTCAATTCGGACTTCTAAACGAAAAATTTTCAAGCTTCCTCCATGAATCAAACTTTCAAATCACATAGAATTTGAGTCACAAACATAATAGCCTTGTATGATTCACAAGATGTAAGTGTTACGCTCTAGATTCAATCAACTTTGAACATAAGCACTTTTATTATATAATTGATGCATTTTATTTACTGTAGATCTATTATTTAATTTAAATCCATAGATTTATGTTTCAGTAATTTGTTAATTACAAAGAATTGAAATTATGAAATACAAATTACATATGACTGAATCTTAAATCATTCGTGATAACAAGTAATAACAAGATACATATATCGTTATTACAGATAGACCATCATGTATGACATTTCTTACTGTGAAGTAAGTAGTTGATCTCACAAGATAAAGTGTGGTGACACTTGTATGAACATGTGGATGTTTTGTTATAGAACAAAATATTGGAGACCCGCTCAAAAAATCCCACATGGATAACTATTTGAGTGTCAGTGGCTAATTTCTAAC